ATATACACACACACATATGAAATACATTTTATGTATAATACGGAGTATTATGTATAATATTCCGCGATCAACTATTTCACGAATATTAAAAAAATATAAGTTAAAAAAAAATAATTCTTAAGACATTAAATTGTTGCAGGCATTAACATCAAATCATTTCGAAAAGAGACTACGATTTTGTAACTAGGCTTAACGTAAAATGCAGAAAAACAAATTTTTCTCGTACGTGTTGTTTTCTTATGAGACAAACAACTTTTACTAATGTAGGCCATGTGAATAAACATAATTCACATTATTAGTCAGAAGCAAATCCTTATTGCATAAGATACTATATCAAATTATACCAAAGACCATGGTCGATGAATATTTGATGCGATATTGCGAATGGATATATCATTAGTCCTCATTCTTTTAATGGTTATCCTTAATTTTAATGGTATCCTTACAGGCACAGTTTACAACGAGTTTCTCGAACAAAAACTGTCGGAACTTTTAAAGAATGTCGATCTTAAAATTCGGCAGAAAATGATTCCAGCGGGATAGAACGCCTGCACATTATTATCACAGAGTTCGAAATACACTGAACCAAATGTTTTCGTTAGATTGGAAGAGGTGGTCATATTACTTGGCCAGCTTCAGACTTAATATCGTTTTTTCTCTGAGGCTGTCTTAAGAATATCGTATATCGCGAAAGACCGAATAATCCTGATGAATTGAAAATACAAATTACAACGGCCAGTTTTGGCAACATCTCACCAGAAATATTATCAAATGTGTTGCGATCATAAGCATCGTATTACCATCTGCATTCTGTCAAGGACAACAGTTTGAACATGTACAAGAGCTATTGTAAGCTCGCATTTGGCCATTTGATCTTAGACAATCTTGAATCATAACGCATGAACTAGTAATGAGCAGCACTACGAACATAAGCGTTTAAAAAATTAGGTTGTCACTTTAAAAAAATTAAGTTGGTTTTAATTTGACTTTTATGCCTTCACTCAAGATCAACATTTTTTTTTCAAAATGTCTCCCTCGATATCATATCTTGTAAAAACATGATTTCGATATCTAGTTCCGGAGAAATTCAAGTGCGTTGATTAAAATGAGACACAGTATAAATATTATATACATATACGTACATATATATGTACGTATATGTATATAATATTTATAATATTAATTTATATTTATTTATAATATTTATAAGTATTAATTTGTATATACACATATACACATATATAAAATGTGTGTGTGTATATATACACACGCGCACGCGCACACATATATGTGTATATACAAATTAATAGTATATAAGCAATACTCAATATATAGACATATACATCTATTTATATAAATATGTAAAATAGATTCAATACATACCCGTAACGTTGAGTGACTAAGTCATAACCAAGATTTGTTTTGTATGTATGAGCATTCTTCTCACTTGTTGAGGATTTTTCTAAAATCAAGATAACTCAAAATATTTTTTAAATATTTTCTTTATTGTTGTGAATTTTAACCCAAATGTAAAAAATTTTTATTTTTCATAAATATAAAATAAAATATAAAGAAAATACATGCATAAAATCATTAATAATACTATAATTATATGATAAAATAATGCATTGAATTATTGCTTTTTAGAAACAAATGTGTATAAATACCTGTTTGCTTATCTTGTGAAAATTTGATAATCTGTATGTCTTCAATGTTTCTCTTTTTATTTCTTTCAAATATTGGACAAGAGCCTTCATCTATAATGGATCCATTTTTTCAATTAGTTTATTATATAAATTATAAATATTATTTTTTCATTATAAAGAAATGCAATTCTTCATGTTGATTTAATTTAAAAATAAATATATAATTAACTATATTAATTACATAATAAACTATTTTTTTAATAATATCGCAAAGCTGATATAATACTTTACTTGATCTTCTTGGAAGAATTATGTCATCTGGATTTATTATGTCTCGTTCAATCTCTTTTGACATATTTCGATCTTTTATTAACAGATTTCCCTTATTATTAATTTTTATCTTGATATTATGCAGCTCTTTTTCATTAATGATTATATCTTCTGGACCTTTAAATATCATTGATGCTTTCCACCTAAGATTAATTATTGTGAAAACATTACATCAATTCTACTTATTAAGATTTTTTCTCATATGCAATAATAAAAATAAATATAAATTAACTTAAAAAATTAATAAAATTGATTTGTATTGTAATCATATTTGTAAGGTCACTAAATTTTATATATCTTACATTTCTGATTATTTATATTTCTAAATTAAAAATTTGTCATTTTTTGCAATACTATAACATTCATCATGTCCAACATTGTTTGTTATTATTTAATTCATAATTCTCTCTAAATTTATATATATTATATACTTTTTAGCATGTTTATAGCCATAACTAATTTTTCTTCGTTGTCGATCATTGTTCTTGATTTGTTATACAAACCTTGATTTATCAATTTTTATTGTTTCAGCTCGCTTCTTTTCGTATTCTTCAATCATTTTTAACTTTCGTTCCTGGTGTTTTCTCTCCAATTCCTGTTGGATAAACCATTCTTTCCTTTTCAATCTAAGTCGTTCTTGTTTTTCTTGCTCTTCCAATGTTGATTGTTTCTTTTTGTAAGAATTCATTGTAATCACTATAAATAATGACATTTTATAGCAATACAATTTTATGTATTAAAAAAAAAGAATCAATATTATAACTTGTTTTGATAAATATTAAATTTATTCCCCTCACCTCAAATTCGATGTAATTAAGCTTATTCAATGCGTTTTTGCGTTGAAATGAAAGAATCTGCAGAAAAAAATGTCGCTCTGCCCTGCGAACTGAGGTACTGATATTAGAGGTTTGTTATTTATTCCTGAAACTAGTGCAAGAAATGTATGTACACTAAAGCGTTTTCGGTAATTATACAGTTTAGGTCATCTCCAATTGTGATAAAATTAGGCTCATTCGATGCGTTTTTGCACAAAACAAAAGAATCCAGGAGAAATAAACGTCGCTCTCCTCAGTTAACCAAGATATTAATCGTTAAAGTTGACGATTATTCAGGTTAGAAAATCTATCATACCGACGAAGTGTAGCGAAATGATTATGCTTTGTAACCACATGCGCATGCTCTGTGGTCACGCACATGCTCCATACGATTACACATTTCCATAAAAAAAGAGGGGATAATGTTGGTAGTAACAAAAATCCTTAGACAACACAATTTAATTTCTGTGGATTGGTGATATTGTAGTAAGTAGTAATCTGTAAAGCTCCTTACACAATGCGAGGGAATAGGCGATAGCGATAGAAATAATACAATAGCAATAAGCATAGCGATAAGAACAGAAGAATCCAACATACAGAAATGCATAATACGATAATGCAGATTGGAACATGGAATAAGCAATAACGATAAAATTTCCGAGTTGAAATTCTATGTCTATCGCCTTATAACCTATCAATCACAGCGTTCCGATTTTTCTGTTTAGGTTATAAACTGCGTCCTGATCATAGATCTTATATATATGGACTGGTAATACAGATATGATTATGTCCGCGGGAGATTGGAAAGAGAAATGTCTCTCTTTTTCTAAAAGTGTCCAGAAATACGTTTTGCGCATGCTTGACATATACTATATATTAATGCATTCTTATTAATATATACTTGCAACTATGCAAGTTAAAGGAAAGTTTGAGGTTGTTTGTACGTTATTTGCAAAGTATCGTATTATTTGCAAAGTATCGTATTATTTGCAGAATATCGATAGAAATATCACATTATATTTCTAAAAAGAAATAATAATTCGAAAGTGTGTTATTTGCAGAGTGAGTTATTCTGCAGAAAATAGTATTTCTTTCCATTCGTAAGTAATAATGAAATAGGACTTATTGTAAAGTAACATATATTAAGCATACTTTAATAATTAATAGCATTTGTAGAAGCATTTGTGAAATTTTTTATTTTACAAATAAATAAATAAATTTTATAAATTTTGAGAGCTTTAAATTATAAATTCAATTATCATATTCTTAATATATAATAATTCTTAGAAAAAAAGTTATTTGTTTCATTTAAAATTTAAAAAATTTACATTCTATTATCCACTTTTTTAACAGATTTTATGATTTTATCTAATTACATTAGAACATTAGGTTCGCGTTGCTTAGAATTTTCAATATCTAAAACATAGATATATTTGAGCAATGGAAAAAAAAAGAACAAGAAGCTTAAGTGCAATAAATATAAACAACACGAACCGCTTATTTATAAAAAACCATTTATTATTAGTGTCAAAACATTTATTGTTCAAAATAATTGTATTAGATACTCGAATCGTTTCTCCAACTAAAGTCTTTATTTTTGCGTATTACTACAATTTGCTCAGTTCGCTTATTCTGCCAAGTTTCCACTGCAAGGGTGGCATATTGTCGCTTACAATTAAGACTATGTCATTAACAGCTAGATTTTCTCTTTCGATCGTCCATTTGCATTTGCCCTGCAATGACGTTAAGTATTCGACACTCCATCGCTTCCAAAAATGTTGAGTTATACGCTGAGTCAATTGCCATCTGTCAAGTCTGTTAATAGGGACGTCTACATTGATATCTGGCAGACTAATAAGCAGTCCCCCTATTAAAAAATGTGCGGGCGTCAAAGCCTGTAAGTCATTAGGATCAGAGGACAATTGACATAGCGGTCTTGAATTTAAGCAAGCTTCAATTTGAGCTAAAACAGTCATAAGTTCCTCGAAAACGTGTCGCGTTTCGCCAACAACTCTTTTTAAATGGTATTTACATGATTTTATTCCTGCTTTCCAAATACCACCCATGTGAAGCGCATGGGAGAGAATAAATTTCCATTCTATGCTTTGAGATGTACAATACTCCTCTATCGATTTGGAAAATGTTCTGATTGTCCGATATAATTCCTCAAGCTCTCTTTTTGCGCCGACGAAATTAGTGGCATTGTCGCTATAAATTTTTTGCGGATAACTTCGTCTGCTCACAAAGCGGCACAATGCAGCCAAGAACGCACTCGATGTCAACTCACTGCTTCTAAATGAACCGCTTTAGTCGAAAAGCATATGAACAACGCAATATATGATTTGCGACTTCTTTGTCCTCGGCCCTTATTCGCAACTGTAACAATGGGGCCAGCATAATCAATTCCCATTATCGAAAATACTCGTTGACAACCGGTAACCCTATCAGGTGGCAACGATCCCATTATTTGATCTGACAACCTTGGCTTAACCTTAAAACATGTTACGCATCTTCTTGTTATTCTACGAGCAGTGTTGCGGCCGTTCAAAGACCAAAATCCTTCCCGAATTGAAGAAAGCAAAGCTTGTGGACCGGCATGTAGCATATGACAATGTTCTTGTTTAAATAACAATTCAACAAATCGACATCTTGCCGGCAGCAAAATCGGATGTTTTTTGTCATAATTAATAGTGGATCTTTGCAACCTGCCGCCCACCCTGAGAATTCCGTCGTTATCTAAAAATGGACTCATATGTGCAAATGCACTGCTTCTGTTTACGCGATCGTTGTTTAAGTCATCCAACTCCCTTGCAAAAAACTGCTCTTGAACATGCTTAATTAATTTTAATTGCGACAGATGCAAATCCCTCACGGATAAGTTACCAAAATTGCGGTTCTCGAAATTGTCTCTAGAATTCGTAATGAATCGATAACACCAAGCAAATACTCTTTCGATTTTAGTTAACGATGAGAATTAGATGAGATTTAGAAAACATTGTTTCGATTATCGACTCGGAATTAGCTCGAGCAACAAAAACTCGCATATTTAATATGTATGATGTCAAATTCCTGATCGGAAAGTTCGCCCTTGCCTTGATATGGATCTTTGAATTCTGAAAGCTACGGTGGACCTGTCCACCACAATAAATTGCTATGAAAATTGTCAAAATTAATGTCTCAAGAGGTTAAGTCCGCGGGATTTTCTGTATCTGCAACATGCCCTCAATGACTGCTAGGCAGGATAGATTGGATTTTGCTACCTTGTTACCAACAAATATTTTCTGCCGACTCGGTTCACCCGCGATCCACGTAAGAACAATTGACGAATCGCTCCACGCATAGATTTTATGAATCCTAATAGTTAACGACTCACGAATAATCCGCATCAAATCGACCAACAAAACGACTCCGCACAATTCCAATCGCGGAATGGTTAATTTTTTAACAGGCGCGTGATTTAGCGCATAACAATCTTGACGCAACTCGATTTGCATCATCAATTGCTCGCACATAAATACACGTACCATAAGCTCGTTCTGATGCGTCACAAAACGCATGCAAACTGATATGCACCGGATTTCGAACGCCCACAACCTGTCTCGGTATTCGCGTTGTATGAATTTTTCTTAGATCTTGGACATATTCCAGCCACATCTGGCACAAACCTACCGGTAAATCGTCATCTCAACCAAGACTCATTTGCCACATGAATTGCATTATCAATTTTACTTTTATGATTATTGGACTCGCCAAGCCCAACGGATCGAATAACTTTGAAATAGCAGACAATACATTTCGCTTTGACTTCGCATTATGCATAAATTGAGACTCGAATCGCAATTCATCGCTGCTTGGTTGCTATCGAATACCTAATGTTTTCGTTACATCTCGCTCATCAGTTATGCCTGAAAGTCAGTCTCATCGTCAATTTTATTCGTTTTAAGGAGTAATTCGTTATAATTTGATCGCCACTTATGTAATTTAAATTGTCTGAGCTTTAATAATTCTGTCAATTCTTTAAAATATCCGTTTCATTAACATTATCTACTCCCGTTAAAATATCATCAACGTATAAATCTTGAAGCTTCATTGAAGATTCATGATGCTTGAGGATACTGACTTTCAGTTTCACTCGCCAATTGTCGAACGCTTCTTATTGCTAAAAATGGTGCACAAGATTGTCCATAAGTTACCGTGTTTAGTTGATATTCTTGAATTAGTTCATCTGGCGAAAAGCGCCATAAAATTCGCTGATATCCCTATCATTCTTATCGACGAAGATTTGTCGGTACATTTTCTGTATATCGGCTGTAATTACCACTGGATGCACTCGAAAACGTAAAATAATATTAATTAGTGGATCTTGTAAAGTAGCACCCACCATTAACGTGTCATTTAAAGATAAATCTGAGTTAGTCTTAGACGAGGCGTCGAAAACAACGCAAAGCTTCGTGCTAATAGATGACTCGCGATAAACGCCGTGATGAGGTAAATAAACAGCCTCGCTTATCATAACAATAATTCTCGGAACGATGGTCATATGCCTTAGACTTATGTATTCTCGCATGAATTCTATATATAACTGCCGATACATATTATTACTTCGAAATTTATGTTCTAAATAGAGCAATCGTCTTTCCGCAATCGATCGCGACTCGAACAATCCTCGATTTCCCAGAATTTAACTAAAGATTTATTTAAAGAGCCCTGTGTAACTAAACAATTGATTTGACTAATTCCTTCCCTTTTTATATATTATGCTGAGATTCGACCTGAAATAATCCAACCGAATTTCGTATTCTGTAATGTAGGCAAATTATTTCCGAGCTCAACCCTTGCAGGTTCTAATAACTTTAAAAAGAATTCGCTGCCCAACAACATGTCGATCTGACTCGGACGGTGATATTGCGGATTGGCTAAATTTAACGTGTCGGTTATTGAAAAAGCATCACTATTAACTGTCATCGAAGGCAGTTCTCTAGTAATCCTCGGCACTACCAAACAAAATATAAATAATAGATAAGTGGTTATTCTTGATTTTATCGTTACTTGACATCCGTGATTTATCGTACAAATCGAACTACCAATGCCCGAGACTGCCTCGTGAATGTCCTCTAATTTTAAATTGTCCTCTAATTTCAATTTAGCGCAGGCTGCTCTTGTTATAAAATTCACTTCGCTCGCGTTATCAAGAAGAACGCGAATAGGTTGATCGAACATGTTCGAGTCCTTTACGTATACTATTGCCGTTGACATTAAGATCTCGTCAAATCCCGCGCGATGTTGTGTGATGTACCAACAAATTAACATTTGCTTTTTTGTTTTTGCGACCTTCTCCGTTAACCGCTTCAATGTTTGAAGTAACTTTGTCTACTCGAGGCTCTTCTTCTCGAGGTTCGATTCCTGGCTGAGGTGGTATTTTTTCGTAATCGAGAGAATAGGACCATCGAGAGAATAGGACCATCATCTCTCTGGTCTGGAGTACCGGTCGTGGGGATT